CGCCCACCACCACCATCACCACTACTACCCCTGCCCTCTCACCACCATCACCACTACTACCCCTGCCCACCACCACCACTACTACTATTTGCCACCACCATCACCACTACTACCCCTGCCCACCACCACCATCACCAATACTACCTCTGCCCACCACCACCATCACCACTACTCCCTGCCCACCACCACCATCACCACTACTACCCTCTGCCCACCACCACCATCACCACTACTACCTCTGCCCACCACCACCACTACTACTACTGCCCACCACCATCACCACTACTATCCCCTGCCCACCACCTCACCATCACCACTACTACCTCCCCACCATCACCATCACCACTACTACCCCTGCCCACCATCACCATCACCACTACTACCTCTGCCCACCATCACCATCACCACCACTACCCCTCCACCATCACCACTACTACCCCTGCCCTCCACCACTCACGGGTTCCTTCCTCTCATGTACCCACCCATATTCATCTCTAAATGTTAAATAAACCTCATTGGCTTTGCCGAGATCATGTGTGTGTGTGTGTGTGTGTGTGTGTGTGTGTGTGTGTGTGTGTGTGCTATTATTTAACAGCATTAAATATTCAGTTGTGTTAGTATATCGTGTAGTGAGTGAATCAGTGTATATAGTTAAGCAAGTTACACTGCCTCAATACTGAAGGTCGGCTGGTGAAGACTGTGGCCGAATTATTGACCATCTTCCCAGTGGAGTACCCCGGTCAGTGACCTTCTCTCTCCTCCCTGCCGACTTAATATATATGAGACTGTGTAGAGTTACATATGACAGCTACCATGACTAACTCTTAATGATGATGGTCTCAGTCAGCTTTATTACTGAATATATACTTGTTGGTACACACACACACACACAACACACACACACACACACACACACACACACACACACACACACGCATTAAACAAAAACAAAAAAACAACAACCGGATCACCTCTTAATTGTGTGAGCGCTGCCGGTAATGTCTCAACACAACACTCGGCCAGGCCCACACCTGTACACGGACACCTCCTCTTCACGCCTCCGACCAATTAACAAGATTGTTAGACAGGCACGCCCCGTCAACATCACCCTAAGACGGTTAAATGGGGCTGGTTATGGTGTTGGACGGTAGGATAGGGGTTAATCTGGGAGGCAAGGCTTGGAGAGGGTAGGGGTGAAGTAGAACTCTACCTTTGGCCGGGTACTTGAGGTGCTCGAGGACAACACCTTCAGGTAATATGACACACCTCGCCCCCTATGGGAGGTACTGGTGATAGTGAACCTGCCTAATGGGTCTCACTTAGGTTAGGTTCAAACTTGAGCCTATCAGAACTGGGCCCCATATCACTTGAAATAAGACCAGACAAGTTTAATATATTCTACAACCTACCGGCGTGGTGATGGTGTGGTGTGATAGTGGTGTGGTGTAGTGTGGTGTGTTAATGATGTGGTGTGGTGGTGTAGTGATGGTGTTAGTGTTGGTGTGGTAATTGTGGTGGTGGGTGGTATACTTGTGTTGTGGGGCAGTGGTGATGGGTGTAGTGTGGATGTGTCGTGCTTTGGTGTTATGGTGTAGTCATGGTGTATCGTTGTGGTGTAGCGTAGTGGTGAGATTTTATTTGTTGGTTGTTGGATATTTTGTCTGGTTGTGTTAGTGGGTGTAGTGTGGTGGTGGTTTAGGCAGCGGTGTAGGTATAGCGAGTGGATGGTGGCGGTAGCGGTGTAGGTTTAGGTGTAGCGGTGTAGATGTAGCGTGCGGTGTAGGTGTAGCGGGTGTAGGTGTAGCGCGGGTGTAGGTAGCGGCGGGTGTAGGTGTGAAGTATGTGGGTGTAGTAGGCGGTGTAGGTGTAACGGGCGGGTGTAGGTGAAGGGCGGTGTAGCGGGTGTAGGTGCACGGCGGGGCAGCGGCGGGTGTAGGTGTAGCGGGTGGGTGCAGAGGTGTAGGCAGGGTGTAGGGGTGTAGCTGGCGGGCGAGGAGTATGTGTAGCAGGCGTAGGTGTAGTGTAGCGGGCGTGGGTAGTGCGGCAGGTGTAGCGGTGTGGGTGTGTAGAGGGTGTAGCTGTGGCGGTGTAGAGGGTGTAGGTGTGGCGGGTGTAGGTGTAGCGGGCGTGGGTGTAGCGGCGGGTGCAGCGGGCGGATGTAGTTGTAGCGGGTGTGAGGTGTACCTGGCGTGTAGCGGGCGTGATGTAATGTAGCGGGTGTAGGTGTAACGGCGGGTATAGGTAGCAGCGGTGTAACAGGCGTGGGTGGTGTGCATGGCGGTGTAGCGTGCGTGGGTGTAGGTGTAGCGGGTGTGGGTGTAACGGCGTGGGTGTAGCTTGGCGGGCGGGTAGTTGGGGGCGTTGGGTGGTGTAGCGGGTGTAGGTGTAACGGCGTGGTGTAGTGGCGGGCGTGGATGTAGGTGTAGTGGGCGTGGTGTACGGCGTGGGTGTAGGTGGCGGTGATGTGGCGCGGGTGTAGGTGTATGGCGTGGTGTAGGTGTAGCGGGCGTGGTGTAGGTGTAGCGGGTGAGCCGTGGCGGGCGTGGGTGTAGGTGTATGGGCGTGGTGTAGCGTGCGTGGGTGTAGGTGTAGCGGGTGTAGGTGTAACGGCGTGGGTGTAGCTTTGGCGGGCGTGGGTGTAGGTGTAGTGGGCGTGGTGTAGCGTGCGTGGGTGTAGGTGTGGCTGGTGTAGGTGTAACGGGCATGGGTGTGGGTGTAGTGGGCGTGGTGTGGCGTGCGTGGGTGTAGGTGTAGCGGGTGTGTGGCGGGCGTGGGTGTAGGTGTAGCAGGCATGGGTGTGGGTGTAGCGGGCGTGGTGTGGGTATAGCGGGCGTGGAGTTGCAGCGGATGTGGGTGCAGCGGGCGTGGGTGTGAGATGTAGCAGGCGTGGGTGTGGGTATAGCGGGCGTGGGTGGCGGGTGTGGGTGCAGCGGGCGTGGGGTGTAGGTGTGGCGGGTGTAGGTGTAGCAGGTGTAGATGCAGCTGGCGTGGGTGTGGGTATGGCGGGCGTGGGTGTGGCGGGTGTGGGTGCAGCGGGCGTGGTGTGGGTGTAGCGGGCGTGGTATAGGTGTGGCGGGCGTGGGTGTATCCAGCGTGGTACAGCGTGCGTGGTGTAGGTGTAGCGGGTGTAGGTGCAGCGGGCGTGGGTGCAGGTGTGGCAGGCGTGGGCGTAGGTGTGGCGGGTGTGGGTGTGTGTAGCGGCGTGGGTGTGGTTGGGCGTGGGTGTAGGTGTAGCGGGCGGGGTGTAGGTGTGGCAGGTGTAGGTGTGAGCGTGGGTGTAGGTGTAGCGGGCGTGGGTATGGGTGCAGCGGGCGTGGGTGTAGGTGTAGCGGGCGTGGGTGTAGGTGCAGCAGGCGTGGGTGTAGGTGCAGCAGGCGGGTGTAGGTGTAGCGGGCGTGGGCGTAGGTGCAGCGGGCGTGGGTGTAGGTGTAGCGGGCGTGGGTGTAGGTGTGGCAGGCGTGAGTGCAGGAACAAAACGGCTAACTCGTCGTGGGAGATCAGAGAGTGGGAAAAGGCCATACCCGTGAACACAGTGGCATCCTAACGCTGTGTGTCACAGTACTGAAGGTTAATCCTGGCACTGTGGCACCTGATTATGTGCCACAGTGGAGTGAGGGTGGTGGTGGTGTCCAGGAGGTGGTGGGGAAGGGGTAGTGAGGGTGGTAGGGGAAGGGGTGTGCAGGGTGGTGTCAGGGATGGTAGGGTGGGAGGGTGGTAGGGGAAGTGGTGGTCAGGGTGAAAGGAGAAGTGGTTGTGATGGCGGTAGTGGTGGTGGTGAGGGTGCTAGGGATGGTGGTAGTGGTGGTGAAGGTGGTAAGGGAAGGGGTGGGGTGGGTGTCAGACTATTACAGCTTACTAAGCATGAAACATCACCTCAGTTTATGGTCAGCGTCGGTTCCAGCGATTTTCCCGTCAAATATATTTTAAGTAATGCAGGGTTAATACATGATGTAAGTTACGGCTTCTTCCCACCCCACCCCACCCACCCAGCCCTGCCCCGGCTAAAGCTACCTGCGGCTTCTTGAGGGGTGACCCAACCTCTTATCATTGTTCTCTAAATCATGTTGTTGAATCGTATTCGTTTTCCATAATGTTGTTTTTCTTTTTATTCGCTATTGTCAGTTACGTTATAGTTTGTTGTTTACATTTTTTATGATGATGATGATGATGATGATGATGATGATGATAATGATGATGATAATGATGATAATAAAGAGCGAGAGACAGACAGACAGAAGGTGATGGTGGATGTCTGAAGACCAAGCAAGACGGGTGGCTGGCAGACAGGAACCTCCATTATGTGTCTGTGTCTGGCCCAATATGTCCCGGTCATCGTGTCTCTCGCCCTCCCTGCCGTCGTTTCCCGAAGATGTGATAAGCAGGGAAGTCCTGACAGTGGCTGCTGGACCCCTCACACTTCCTGCTGGGGGTGTTAAAAAGGGGGTCCTGCTGGCGGTGTTAGAAGGGGTCCTGCCGGGGGTGGTAGAGGGGGGTCTTTCTGGTTGAGGTAAAAAACACTCTTCTAACCCAGGGCAGTAACCACAATGTACTGTACAGTAGTAAAGTACACTGAAGTAATGACTGAAGTAATACCGTATGTACACCGTAGTACTATGTCAGTATACGCACGATGTGCAGTAGTAAATTTGTACGTGACGCTGTGTGTACACTCAATTACTACTCAATATGTACAAAAGAGAAAAAAGTTTGTTTGTACAGTGTTGTTAGTTTACATATACATTACATGATGGTGTAAACAATGTGTGTGTTTAGTGGCAGGAACCGTCCTCTCTACTGCTCTGCCTCATCACGGGGTGGAGGTGTTGTATCATTGGACGCAAGTTACCTTTTGTTTACGGGATCAGGTGTAGCTCAGACTAGGGAAGGTGACATGTAATACCGGTGAACGGAAATAAAGTCGCAGGAAAAAAGTCACAATTTTGACTTGGAAGAAAAGTCACATTTTATATAAATATCTTTAACAGTTAAAAAAAAATATTTATCTAAAGTTACTTATTAACTGACAATACATGACTTGTACACATTGACAACACAATTTATATATGATGGCATTACACGTATGTTAGGTTAGGTTAGGTTAGGTTAGGTTAGGTTAGGTTAGGTTAGGTTAGGTTAGGCTAGGTTTGGTTAGGGTAGGCTAGGTTTGGTTAGGGTAGGCTTTGGTTTGGTTAGGGTAGGCTAGTTTAGTTTTTTTTCTGTGACTTTTTTCTGTGAATTTTTTTCCTGGATTGGTATTACCTCACTGTTGTGTACTTGTCATGTATCACTCTTGTATCACTTGTATCACCTGTAACACTTGTAACACCTGTATCTCTTTCATCACCTGTAACACCTGTATCACCTGCATCACCTGTATCACCTGTAACACTTGTATCACTGTAACACTTGTAAGACTTGTAACACCTGTATCGACCTGTATCACTTGTATCACCTGTATCAACCTGTAACACCTGTAACACTTGTAACACCTGTATCGACCTGTAACGCTTGTATCACCTGTAACACCTGTATCGACCTGTAACGATTGTATCACCTGTAACACCTGTATCGACCTGTAACACCTGTAACACCTGTATCGACCTGTAACACTTGTAACACCTGTAACACCTGTATCGACCTGTAACACTTGTAACACCTGTATCGACCTGTAACACTTGTAACACCTGTAACACCTGTATCGACTTGTAACACCTGTAACACCTGTATCGACCTGTAACACTTGTAACACCTGTATCGACCTAATACTCACCAACTCCCGATTTCGTTAAGTGATGACATTTCTCAACTGACCTTCTCCGACATTCTCAGGCGCCGCACCCAACCCCTGTCGCACCCATTCTTCGCTACCGCAACCATGCCCTCGCGACGCAGTACCTAGCCCCCGCCGTTGCACCTAGCCCCCGCCGTTGTACCTAGCCCCTGCCGTTGGACCTAGCCCCGGTACCTAGCCCCGCCGTCGCACCAAGCCCCCCCTGCCGCCGCACCCAGCCCCCTGTTGCACCCAATCCCCCTCGACGCCACACTGCCGCACCCTCACATACACTACACACCTCCAGGCAGATTATATTGTCGCTTTCACCTTCGTACTTGTGGTTGTTATAGTTCCTGTGGGTGAAGGGCAGTGGTGAAGTGAAGGGGGGTGGTGAAGGGCAGGGCAGGGCAGGGCAGGGCAGGGGCTGGGCTGTGATGAAGTGAAGGGCAGTGGTGAAGTGAAGGGTGGTGGTGAAGGGCAGGGCAGGCAGGGCAGGGGATGAAGTGAAGGGCAGTGGTGAAGTGAAGGGAGGTGGTGAAGGGAAGGGCAGTGATAAACGGAAGGGTAATGGTGAAGGGAAGTGCTGTGATGAAGGGAATGGCAGGACACTGATGAAGAGCATGGCAGGGCAGTGATGACGGGAAGGGTAGTGGTGAAGGGAAGGGCAGGACACCGGTGAAGGACAGGGCAGGACTGGGCAGGGCAGGGCAGGGCAGGGTAGGGCAGGGCTGGGCAGGGTAGTGGTGAACAACTAGTAATCATCAACTTACTATCAAAAGATCCTGGTGTGGGTGGTGGCGCCTGTGTCTGTATGCTGATGGTAATTGGTCCACTGTACAGTATGTAGTGATTTCCGCTCACCTGATGTTTGCCTCCCCCCCCCTCTACCCCTTCCTACCCCAGCTAACTCCACCTGATTATTAAACACCTTAACACTATCTCCAGGTTTAGGTTAGGTTAGGTTAGATAAGTTTTATGTTAGGTTAGATAAGCTGTAGGTTAGGTGAGGTTAGATAATCTTTATGTTAGGTTAGGTTAGATAATCTTTTGGTTAGGTTAGGTTAGATACGCTTTATGATAGGTTTTGTTAGATAAGCTTTATGTTAGGTTAGGTTAGATAATCTTTAGGTTAGGTTAGATAATTTTTTTGTTAGGTTAGGTTAGATAAGCTTTATGTTAGGTTTGGTTAGATAAGCTTTATGTTAGGTTAGATGAGCTTTATGTTAGGTTAGGTTAGATAAGCTTTATGTTAGGTTTGGTTAGATAAGCTTTATGTTAGGTTAGGTTAGATAAGTTTTATGTTAGGTTAGGTTAGATAAGATTTATGTTAGGTTAGGTTAGGTTAGATAATCTTTATGTTAGGTTAGGTTAGATAAGCTTTATGTTAGGTTAGGTTAGGTTAGGTTAGGTTAGGTTAGGTTAGGTTAGGTTAGGTTAGATAATCTTTATGTTAGGTTAGGTTAGATACGCTTTATGTTAGGTTAGGTTTGATAAGATTTATGTTAGGTTAGGTTAGATACGCTTTAGGATAGGCATTCCAAAGTTTTGAAGGTGAAACGAGCTGGTGTAGCTAATCAACAGGAAATACTTTTAACTAATACTAACTATAATAATACACCGTTTATGAACATACTGTTAACTAATACTGACTGTACTGTATAATACACTCGACACAGAAGCAGCACACTGTTGTATTGTTGTGAGAGATTACACCATTATCTTACTGTCTAATTATATTATTGTGATGAGCAGACCTGACCCACATAATGTATACACTCGCTGTGTTTGTTGCTGGCGGCAGGATGTCATTACGTAAGATCAGGTTTACGAATAGCAGAGGTTCCTATTTGCCCTGAGGATCCCTCCCCCCCCCCCTCCCATTCCAAGCATTGAATTGAATTTAATTGTAACAGTTTATTTAGCCATAAAAACACAGATACAGAGTGGATAATAATAACAATATTAACATGGCTGAGCCAGTTGAGAACCTGAGCTCTCCTGTAGGCATCTGATATATACTGTACATTTATCTCAAGGAAGTATTATGTAACATTTAGTATCATCTGGAATAGTACACATAGCATGGTGGTAATAAGAACATATCAGTAGGTTACCACGGTTATCACTTCGATATTTATTTTATTTATAAGCAAGGTCTCATAGTCGCGTATATTCATCAGCCTCCGGGTCACTCAAGTCATCACTCTAGGATAGGTCGCTCAGTCATCACTCCAGGTCACAGTCACCGATAAGGTCACTCAGTCATCACTGTAGGTCACTCAGTCACCACTGTAGGTCACTCAGTCATCACTGTAGGTCACTCAGTCACCACTGTAGGTCACTCAGTCATCACTGTATGTCACTCAATTATCAGTTTAGGTCACAGTCATCGATAGGGTCACTCAGACATCACCCTAAGTTTCTAATAATGCCAGGTCACACTCCGTTACGCCCCCTCCCCCCCTCCAGGCCATTTCCCCAATGGGTCATGGGGTGTTACCATGCCAGCTGGTCACTAATAACGAGGCGTTAATGGGTCATCGAGAGTTAATGGATGAACGAGCTAGTTAAAGGGTGAAAGAAAGTTAGTGGGTGATCGTGCTCAGGTAATCACCATAGCTGGCAGGTGTTGTAATGATTCACGCAGGTAATAGTGTGCGATAGTTGCTGCAACACTTTCTACTGGCCACGCCTTGTGTTGAGTCTTACCTGGGGGAGCGTGGGGGCCTGGGGATGGGACCTGGGGGTGGCACTAGGCGAGCATTGTGGGTAGGAGGGGACCTGTGGGAATAATGCTAGGCTGGGGGAGGACCTTGGCAGAACCCCCTCCCTAACCTTACTTGTCAGGTTGATAACATTGCGTGACCGCGAACCTCACGTCACACCCTTCGTCACACCTCTCACGTTATCTCCCTCACGCTACGTCCTTCGCCACACCCTTCACGTCACACCCTTCGTCACATCACCATCTGTTACGGTATGACCCCTGAACCGTGTATATGTATCTCCAGGCGGTGTATATGTATCTCAAGACCGTGTATCTGTATAATAATAATAATAATAATAATAATAATAATAATAATAATAATAATAACGGTTTATTGAAAGAGCTTGGCAGCCAGAAGGCTGAAAATATACAGTTACATATTTGGGGAATGGGTTACGAATTACAAATAATATACAAGTGACATAAGTGACACAAATAAGACATATAGTAACTTAGATGGGGATCAGCTCAAAATACAGTTCATTTCAACATAGTGACAGTGTAGGGAGCAGTGTTTACTGGGAGTGAATACACTGATTTATTACATGTTATTGATAATTTTTACAATGGTTGGGACTGGGCTGTTCTTATAGCGATCAGTTCGTGCACGTATGGGCTGGATGCGGTTGTGGTGTCGAACAGCAATTCTCGGACAGGGGATCTCAGGTGGTAGTAGGGGCCGGTGTCGGGGATGGTGTAGAAGCTTCTTACCAAATTTGCAGATGAGGCCGTGGTGATGGTCAGTGAGAGTCGAAAGGGTCAGTGTGTTGAGCGCTTCTTGATATGTGGAGTAGGAAGGGGAGAGAATAATCTTGCATGCCCTCTTTTGCACTTTTTCTAGGTGTTTACGTTGTGTGGCATTTAGGGAGGAAGACCAGGTGGGGGAGGCATAGGTGAGCTTGGGAAGTATGAATGTTGTGTAAACACTGAGGAGCTCGGTGCAGGAACTCCGAGGGACTTGAGTCGGCGGAGGAGGTGGAGACGGAAACTGGAGGATTTGACAACTTCACTGACGTGTGGTTTCCAATTTAGTTTGTTGTCTATGGTGACGCCGAGGAGCTTCGTGGAATCTACAACCTGGAGTGTGTTCGGACCTAGGGTAATGGAAGGAGGTGGGACAATGTCGGAGGAGAGGTTGATGTGCATAACCATTGTCTTGGTATGGTTGATGGTGACATGGTTGTTGGTGGCCCAGTTTTGGAGACTGTTCAATAAATCCTGAAGGGGGGTATAGTTGGGAGCGGAATTGTTGACGCTGATCCCAATGGTGGAGTCGTCGACATATTTCCAGCGAGCAGGGGTTTCTCTTAGGGCATCATTGATGAGCATAAGGAAGCAGAGTGGTCCCATCTTGGTGCCTTGGGGGACGCCACAGGTGAGTGACTGAAAGGTGGAGACAGCCCCTCGGAAGCGTACAGCTTGGCGTCGGTCACTGAGGAAGTCTGTAAGCCATGGTATGAGACTTCTCCGAAGCCCGAGGTCAATAGCTTTGTTTATGATTATATTGTGGTCGACTAGGTCGAACGCTTTAGTGAAATCAATGAAGGCGACAGCTACAGACGTTTTTCGTTTCTCGAGATGGCGGTATATGTAATCGAGAAAGCTGACAAGACAGTGAGTGGTGGAGGAAGTTTTCATGTTGCCAAATTGCTGAGGGTCTACGACTCCTGCAATATCAGCATAAGCCCAGTCAAACACAAAACTTTCACAGATTAGGCTGGGTATTGGGGTGATTGCAATAGGTCGTAGCTGATTTAAGGATTGTGGGCTGGTTGACTTGGGCACTGGTGATACATAAGAGGTCTTCCAGTCAGCTGGGCATCTGGCTTGACTGAGAGAAGCATTGATGATGGAGCAGAGGGGTTTAGCAAGCTCCGGGGAGAACTCCTTGAATAGTTTCATTGGTAAGTCAATGGGGGGGGTAGAGCGTTTTAATTTTAGTTTGTCCAGGCGTTTTGCTACGTCAAATTCCTCTACTAAGTCAGTGGGAAGGGGGGCTGGTAGGTAAGCAGGGAGAGTGGTTGTGTCAAGCCGTGGGAGCGTCTGGCATATAGTAGCGAAATGGTTATTTGTTTGCTCAGCTGCGTCAACATTAGTGAGGTGGCTAAGGAAGGGGAGGGGGTGTGTCATATTGTTTAGTCCACAGAGTTCTTTAAGCTTACCATACCATTGACTGATGTTGGTCTGCTTCAGGTGTTGTAATTTGGTTGGGTAGTGGGACTTCTTTGCGCGTATTTCGCGGATGACTCTGTTGCGAAGTGACCTGTAAAGTGATGTGTATCTCCGGCTGTGTGTATATATATATATATATATATATATATATATATATATATATAT